TTTGTTATGACAATCAACCTTGAACTTAAAGAGACAGAAAGAGTGAGAGAGATAGAGAGAGATAGAGAGAGATGGAAAACATATTCTCCAGTAATTTTATGGCGTAAAATATAAAAAAAATTCTAGATCGTCTCCGTCTGCTCTGTCTTAAATGGAATTCTCTTCGTGAAGATGTTTGTAAAAACTTTGTTGTCGTTACCTGGAAAACGCGATCGTCTCTCTCTCTCTCTCTCGTAAAAAAAATTACGATTCGATAATATATCGAATTTTATTCGTTCGATACGTTTCCCTTTTTAATTTTACTGTCAGTTAAAAATTATAAAAATTTTTTTTTTTTTTTTGGAAAGGTCACCTTAGGCGATAAAAAAAAACTGGAGGCCGTAAAAGAGCTGCTTTGTTCATTTTCCAAAACCTTTCAGTGTCTGGAAAAGAAAAAAGCGGACAATTTTAAATTTACGACCTTCGTAATAAAAATAATAATAATAAATAATTTTTAATATGTATATAACAATTGTTACAAATTCTTTTTTTTCTTTTCACAAGGTAATATTTACATACACGCGGGCTCCCTGGAAATTTAAATTTAAAAAAAAAAAAAAACTGGAAAAGAAAAAATCCTCACGCGAACGAGTCTGAAATCTCGAATCCATACGAATCGAATTAATTTTAATTTCGAAAGTTGGTAACATTTTCATCAAAATCAAATAATAAATAAATGATAAAAATTACCACCCGCAAAAAAGTTGTCGAAAGTTCTGGAGAATCGAGTTTTTTGAAAAATTAATTTTTTTTCAAAAAAAAAATGTCCGAAAATTTAAAAAATTAATTACGTAATAAAAAGTAATAAAATAATAATTAATTGATAAGAAAATTAAAAAACATCTCATCGAAAACATTGTCGATTTATATACAATATAAATAATAATAATGATAAATTAAGGGCGTGTTATCAACTTTTTTTTTGTAAGGTAATAAAAATTACCCGTAAGCTAAATATAAGAAGAAAAATTATTTATTAATGGTAATAAATAATAATCGAACGAATGACGAATAAAATAGTATTTAATCACGATAGAACAAAAAAAAATTACCTTACGTATAATAAAAATAATAATAATTAAATTATAATAAATATTACGTAATTTTTTATAAATTTATAAATAATAATAATAATTTTTGTAACGAATGAAACTTTGTAAAGTGAGTCGAATGGTATTAAACGTAATTAAAAGTTTTGCTTATTTTTTTTGGTAGCAATTTAAAACGCGGCGTTTTTTGTTTGTTGTTTGTTGTTTGTCGTTGTTGCATGCCTCACCCCATTGCGGAAACGCAAACCGCCAAAAAAAAAAAAATTCTTAACGCGTGATTTATTTATTCATATTTTTTTTTTCGATTCGTAAAAAAAAAAAATTATTTATTTATATATATATATATATATATGTGTGTGTGTTTTTTTTTTCTAATCCCACGATAAAAAAAAATTATTAGGTAATGCCTTTAAAATAAGTGGTAATAATAAATGTAAAAAAAAATTATTATTATTATTATTATTTAATCGCGTTTTCCTTTTCAATGTCAAATCCATCACCATTACTACTTTTTTTTTTTGATTTTTAATTAAGACGAACTTAAAAACGATTTCGATTCCAAAAAAAAAAACTCGCCATTTTTATTACATTTAAAATATCAATATTATTATTATCATCATCATCGTTTTTATTATTATTATTATTATTTTTATGATGATCGTCGTCGTGGTCGTCGTCGTCAAATATATCGAGTTTAATGTCATGAATATACGTGATTATTATTTTAACGACATTTAAATATTATTATTATTATTAATAATAATTTTATGTATTTTTTATTTTATTTTATTAAAAAGCACGCCAACGTTTCGAACAAAGAAATCGCAACAGCCAACAACAACAACCAACAACCAGTAACAATCCAAAAAAAAAATCCACGCGACAATAAAATCAAATAAAAAAAAATAATAAAAATTCGATATTTTTTCCGCATCGAACGAATGATAATTATAATAATAATGATGATGATAATATATTCATTAGTTTATGATAATGATAATATTAGCATAAGGGAAGAGGAGGGACGTGAGGAAAGAGTGGGGGAAGGGAGGGGAATGAAATGAAAATAAAAGTAAAGCAGGTGTAAGTGACATAAGTTAAACACGAGAAATTATCATAAATACTTGTCATAAAGTCGTACGGTATTCGTGAATAAGAAAAATTCTTGACCATTGACAAGAGAAGGTTGTTGTTGTTGTTGTCGGTTGTCTCAAATCAATATGAATGAGGGATTCAATGAATAAATCCACTTGCGTTGTTGTCCTTCACATTAAATTAATATGTGCGGGTTAATAATAATTTTCGTCTGGAAAACGCATTAACATTTTCCCGCACTTTTCCTCCCCCCCCCGTTTTTCCTCCTCCTTTAATCCCCTTCCACTTATGATTTACGTTTTTATTTTTTTTTTCCAGTTCATCTTTCCTAAAAATAATAATAATAAATTTTATTATCATGGGAATCGTGATTTTCTTTAAGGAAAAGTTTTCGAAAAAAAAAAAATTTTCCTCCTAACGAAAGATGATGAATTCTTCCCTCTCTCTCTCTCTCTCTCTCTCTCTCTCTCGTGTGTTCTTATCAGTAAATAACGGGAAATAATAAATCTATTGATAACCTGTTAGAATAACCTTCTTTAAAAATCTAAGGTATATACCTGATGGACAAAAAAAAAGGGCATTAATTGAAACGATAATAATAATAATTATACGCCGAACGTGTTTTTTTTTTTTTGATTTTTTCGTTACCGTGACTTTATTACCGTTTTCAAATTTTTTCCGTTTTTTATTACGGTAATTTTTTTTTTCAAATGGTAATTGTTCAGGTCTCACAATGTATTCCTAATTAAATGATAATGATAATGATAATGATAATGATAATAATGATAATGATAATGATAAAGAAAATTTAATCGTGGGAATTTTTTTTTTTTCGAAAACGTTTAGCATGTTAAAAAATTATTTATTATTATTATTATTATTATTATTTGTGTCGTGTTACAAAGGCCGTCAAAAAAAAAAAGGAGTAATTGGGGAGCATAAGAGTGGGGGGAAATGTTGGGAGGGGAGGAGGGGAATAAAGAAAAGGGAAGAACAAGAAAATTTATTTTGAATTGAACTCAATAATAAATTGGCAAAATTTTAATTAACCAAGTCAGTAAATTCGAGGTTTTCTTTTTTTTAAGTTAAATGTTTAAGTTACGGTAAACGTCATCATCATCATCATTATCATCATCGTCGTCCTCACTTTCGATTTTTCCCTTTTTTCTTATTTTTTTTTTCTCGTTATTCATTCATTTTCGTTTGCGTTTCGGCGGCGGCGGCGACGTGTGAAAAAATTTTTCAGTTTGAAAAATCCGGTTGCGTTGTCTTTCTCTCATCGTTAAAATTTTCGGGTCGCAAATTTTCTAAATAATGATAATAATAATCATTTTTGTAAAAAAAAAATTTTTAAGTATTTAAACGATAGCAAAAACGTTTTTTTTTTTTGTGATCGAGACCTTCGATTAATTTAAATTTTTTTTTTTACGAACGTAAGTCGTCGTCGAACTATCGTAGGAAATGGATAAAAACAGAAAAATGGTGGGTAGAATTTTTTTTTTATTCTTTAAAAATTCGTTTTTGGTAGAAAAAGGGGGAAGGGAAAAGGGGGGTTAAAGGTATTTAGAAAATATTACAAGAATTCCATCGCACGTGGTTTAAAAACGAAATATCGATTTTTATCAACTGGATTGAAAAAAAAAATTTTTAATTGGACTCAAATTCAGGAAGTTTACGAAAAAAAAAAAATTGATTGATATGAAAACCTTTCGCCTCCTTAACTTTATTAATAATAATAATAATAATTATTATTATTATCATATGTAAATATGGCCATCGGCCACACAAAGACACGAAAAAAAAAAAAATTGTTCAGAGAGAGCCAAAGACACACATTTTTTTCTTTTTTTTCTTAATACAATCACGGCCTTCGCGATATTTTTTAGGCGCGCGACGTTTTAAGTTTACACAAAAAACGTGTAATAATTAATTACCCGTAATATTTTTTTTCTAAATAATAATAATAATGAAATAATAATTCAATGTATTACTTGATAAGAAATTTTTTTTTTACAAAAGTAATAAATTCTAATATTTAATCATTCGTTAATGCGTTCAATCGTTTATTTCGAAAAAAAAAAAAAGAAGTGAATTTTATTACGCGGCGTCGTGTGACGTCATCGTAACGCGTGCGTTTTGTTTTTTTGTATATTTGGGTTACCTTGAAAAAAAAAAAATTATTAATTAAATTAAAGTGCATCATCAAAATGGTCTCGCCACATACTTGCACTAGAAAAAAAAATGGTGTCATTTAATTTTAAACGTAAAATAATTAAAAAAAAAAATTATTACGTAATAATAAATGGTAATAAATAAATAACTTAACCTAAATTCTAAATTTTTGTACTAATTTTTATTTTCCCGGTTAAACTTAGGTAATGTTTTTCTTGGACGAAAGTAAAATAACGCGGCATAATTTTATTACTAGGGTAATAATTCGGAAGGATTTCATCCCCTCCCCACCTATGTAATAAAATTATTTTAATAAGAAAACTCATCGGCAATCTCTCCAGTCGTTTTTTTGCGATTTACGCGCGTTATTTACGCATGCGTGCTCGTGTTATATCAACTTTCTTTTTAAATTCATTAAACCAAGGTTTTATACGAAACCGGATATTATTAATATTTTTTAAAAAAATGGAAGAATAACAATGAAAAATTGTTTTACAAAAAAAAAAAAAAAAAAAAAAAAAACTCGTTCGTATTTTTACCGGAGAATTTTTTAGGCGTGGCAATAACTGGAAAACTGGAAACGTTATTAAACGACTTTAATTTCGTTTTTTTTTTAATTTTTAAAATTTTTTTCTTTTCCAGACAATGCTTCCGGTGCCAGTGCTAGAAAAGCTTAAATTCCTATATCCGGTTTATGTATTAGGAATAATATCTGTTGGGTACATCGTCGGTGAGCTTGGTCACTATTTAATCGGTGTCACGAGTAAAGAAACGGCCAAAGATTTACACTACGGTGACATATCCTGTCAATTAAATGATACCACGTTATCAGTTAGCGAATTACCATTTAGTTGCGAAACTGCTAACAATTCCGAAACGTAAGTTTTTTCTTTAGCGAATCGATCGATCGATCGATTAATCGATAGATCGATGCGAAAAAATCAATTTGGTTTTTCCAGATACGCTTCAAACAAGGCTTCCTAACGTTTAATTTTTATTACGTCACGATATCACCTTGCGAGTGGTGTTGGTATTTATATCATTATTCGATAAATGACACACGATTAATATTAATGATAATGATGATGATTTTTTCCAGATGTTATTCTTACAACATAAACGGGACGCCATATTGCGAATGGGAATATAACGGTTTGGGTTTGGATTATCAAATTTTAGCCGGACCATCTTTTATAGCCGTTTTTACAGTCGTCGGAGTTTTCTTTGGTATCGTCGCCGATAGATGGAACAGGATACGAATGTTGACCATTTGCACGATTATATTTGCCATCGCCATATTTTTAATGGGAGCCGTCACAGAATTTTGGCATTTGGTCATATTGAGAATGGTTTTGGCTGCCGGGTTAGAAAATTGATTTAAAAAATTAAAATCATTTCTTAGGGGGGAGGAAGGTGTAGAGAGGAAATTGTAATTTTTTTTGTTTTTAGGGAAGCAAGTGTTAATCCGATCGGTACTGGAATTTTATCCGATATATTTCCAGAAGAGAAAAGAGCTTTGGTCATGTCTATATTTAATTGGGGTATATACGGTGGTTACGGTATGGCTTTTCCTGTCGGTCGTTACGTTCCCCTATTAAACGCATGGGATTTGGTAAGTTTTTATCTTGTTTTGAATTTTAAAAAAAAAAACCGAAAGTGAATAATTTTTTTCTTAAATGAGGGTTGGAGAGTTTGTTACTACGGTGTCGGAATCGTCGGTATCATCGTCGGTATACTCACGGGTCTTACAATCAAAGAACCAGAAAGGAAAATAATCGGGGAAGAAACGACGGCTGACAGAAGCACTCAGAAAAAGAAAAAAGATTGGAAAGTTATTTTGCAACCCCGTGTCGTTTTGCTTTGTCTTGCCGCTTCCATAAGACACACCGGTACGTTTCCCCCCCCCCACATTCCCCCCTCCTCCTACCATCCTCTCCCCATCGTCGAATAAATCATATGATTTTTAATTCCAGGTGGAATGACTTTCGGTTACAATTGCGACTTATTCTACCGTGAATACTTTCCCGATTACGATTTAGGTTGGTGGTTGTTTGCAGTAACTGTCGTCATAGGTTCCATAGGTGTCGTAGCCGGTGGTGTAATATCAGATAAATTCGTATCAAAAATGGGTATCAAATCGAGAGTTTTAGTTTTAGCCATAAGTCAATTGATAGCATCCCCATTTGCTTTCGGTAGCGTTTATTTCGATCCTGTCGGCGCCATGATAACATTAGCTATTTCTTATTTCTTCGGTATAAATTTTTTTTTTTACGAAAAAATTACAATTCCCCAATTAAAATCCTAATAATAATAATAATAATAATAATAATTTTTTCAGCCGAAATGTGGTTCGGTATTGTTTTTGCCATATTAGTCGAAGTCGTACCTTTATCAATGAGATCCACGACCGTTGGAATTTTCCTCTTCGTCATGAACAACGTCGGAGGAAATTTACCAATTTTAGTCGAACCAATCAGAACTTCTTTAGGATTTAGAGAATCGTTATATATTTTATACGCGGGATTTTATTTAATAAGTAAATATAAATTTAAGGAAAAAACGCGCGCGTTTTTTTAAACTATTATTATCATTATTATTTTATTTTGTTTCAGGTTCGTTTTTATTTTTAATAACGGTATTTTTAATGGAACCTAAATCGAACAATCCTTCAAATGCTAAAAACGAACCCATGGATTTAGGACACGAAAATCCTACGCTACAAGTTGACACGTTGGACTCTATAGCTAACGGCGGTGATAAGAAAGTCATGGAATCCTGTAGGCTTTAATCTATAATAATAATAATAATAATAACAATAATAGTAATAATAATAATAATAGTACTAATAATAATTAGTAAACGTGATAATAATTATTTGAAAGTAATTTATTTTAATAAAAAATAAATTATTTTTAAATAAATTTTTAAAGAATTTGACTGACTCATTTTGAAGTCGGTTATTTTTATTGTTGTTATTATTATTATTATTATGTATAACGTTTTTGTTTGTATATGACGAAAACGATGACGTGATATAACAATAATAATAATAATAATAATATAATTTTTTTTGTTCGCGTTTTTTAGTTGATGTTAGTATAAGATTTTAAAATTTAAAAAATATTCAGGTTGAATTTTTGTGTTTATTGTTAATAATTATTTAAATGAAATTTTCGACGACAATGATAATGATGATGATGATGATAATAATAATAAATAGATTGTAAATAGATTTTTAGAACAAATGCCAAAATATAAATTATTACGGGAGCACTTGTTGATAAAAAAAAAATTTTCTTTCTCTTTCTCTCTCTCTCGCGAAAGTTTAGCGTGAGTTTATCTTTTATTATTATTATTATCATTATCATTATTATTATCATTAAATCCGATTTAAAGAGGAGGAAAAAAAAAAGAAAATTTCAAACGAAAAATAAATGATTTGTTATAATATTTTTCCACGTGGAAAATTTTTTCTTTTTATACGTTTGGCAGAGTGTGAATGAAAAAATTATGTAAATTGAATGAATGAATGACTGAATGATTGATTGATTCGAAAAAAAAATAATTTTTTTTTTTTAAATATGTTTTAGAAAAGAAAATTTAGGAAAATTTTGTTTTTTTTTTAGTTTTTGTAATTTCGAATCCCAACTATGTATAATTTTTTTTTTTTTAATATTAAAATTTAGTTTTTTTTTGTTTATAAAAAAAAAAAAATTTATTATTATTATTATTGTTTAAAATTTACCCTTTTCTATTCGAGTCCTAATTAGTAAAAGTTTAAAAATTACTTTTAACCCCCCCCCAAATAAAAACAAAACAAAACAAAAACGAATAAAATTTTAAATTGTTTTAGAGAAAAAATGTACAAACATAAAAATAAATTTTGCATACAAACGTAAAAGATAAACAAAACTAAAAATTTTCTTTTTTTTTGTTTTTTAGGTAAAAATTAAAATTTATTTATAAACTTGTGTAATTTTAACGTTACGCGCGTTTAATTAAAAAAAACGCGGCGTTTTTGTAGAAAAATTAAAAAAAAAAAAATTCCCAAAGCAAGAAATAATTCGGCATAGATTTCATTTTATATTTAAAATTTAATCGATCCGGAATTTATTATTTTATCGTGTCTATAGAATCGTGTATTTAATGACGAATAAATCACATACCACATTTTAATTAATAAATTTTTTTCTTTTTAATGGCGATGCAAAAGATTCGCACAACTGAAAATGAAAAAAAGAAAAAAAAAAGAAATTGTTGTTAAATAACAATCAAAATAATTATTATCATTATCATAATAATGCGTAAAGTATAATAGTTGGGGTAAAATCAACGAAACGACAAATTTTTCATTTCCGGTTAAACAGTTTTCCTCTAATTTAACTCGATCGATTGTCCGTTAAATTATTATTATTATTATTGTCATTGTCGTATTATTATCAAGTTCAAGGATTTTTCTCTTTCGTTAAATAATGAGCGAAGTGATGATGATAATAATAATAATAATAATAATAATAATACGAAAGTTTTTTTTAAAAAAAGAGAAAATTTTAAAATGATTCGATCGATAGCGACAGGAACAGGGGGATGATGGGGGTCCAACAGGAAACGATGAAAAAAAAAAATGAAAAAAACTTTTTAAAAATGAGAACGACGGAAAAGTGTTACGCTATCGAATCATCATCCTTCATCCACGATTTAAATATGCAATTGAATCAAGGCGTGGCAGAAAAAAAAAAAAATGTAATTTAAAAAAAATAAAAATAAAAATGGGAAGCGTTGAGGAGGGTTTTTCAAAAAAAAAATTATCGCTTTCGAAAATGGCGGGAAAGTATTTATTTTCAAATGTTTTAACTAGTTCATCGGGAGGGCGTCGTTGTCGTCGTTTGTTCGACCGACAAACAAATAAACAAACAAACAAACGCGTTTAACGAATCAATCAATTTTCACGCATCGGCATCACTAATAAAACTTATTTTCCGTTACCAACTTTTTAAAAATCATAGTTTTATTTAAAACATCAAAAAAAAAAAAATTAGGGCTGAAATTAACGGTTCGACACTATTATTATTATTAAAAAAAAATATCGATCGATTTATTGACTTATCGATCGATAAATAATTGAAATTTTTTTTTTATTATCGCCCGCGCGTTTTAAATACCCACGCATTTATTATTACTATTATTAATAGACAAATCAAAATGGAAAAAATAAAAAATAATAATAATTTATATTTTAAAAAGTAGCATCATCTTTGTTTAAAAGTGGCAGCAGTTGTTTATTATAATAATAATAATAATAATAATAATAATAATAATAATAATAATAATAATAATAATAATAGAGTTGATAAAAAAAACTTTCAAATACCTACTCCCACGCGTCGCATGAAAATTTCGCATAGAAAGTTTTCACTTCGTTAAAAAATTTTTTAAATGAAAACTCGCGCACGCGCACACGGTAGATTATAATCGTCGTGGCAGAAGAAGAAGAGGAGGAAAAAAAATTATTTTAAACGATTTTTTTTTTTATATCCTTGAAAATCTTCTTATCTACTTATAAAGCTATAAAAAAAGTTTTTTGTTTTTTTTTTTCAAAAATTCCTTTTTATTTTATTTAATTAATTAATTACCTAATTTCGCGTCCTCTTTTCATCTCCCTATCACCTCCCTCCCTCCCTCCAAAAAAATCTTTTTTCACACCCCACACGCCCCTTCCTACGCACCAAGAAAATTTTTTTTTTTTTCTAAAAAACTTTCGTTTTATAATTATTGTCATTTTTTACCGAAAGGAAAATTAAAAAGTTTTAATTGAAAATTTACGTTTTTTAAATGTTTTCCGTTGTGTGTTTTTGTGTTCTTTTAGGTTTTCATGTTTTTCATGTTTTTTACCCACTCGATAAAATGTTTTATTATGTTTTTAGATTTAAACCCACGAAAAAACACTTTTACGCGTTATAAATATATAATTTCGAACAAACTTTTCTTTTTTTTTTTCTTATTGATAATAATAATAATAATAATATGTTTTTTACGAAAGTTCTGGAATGTGTTCCAGAATATATATTAAAAAAAAAAAAATTTATTACGCTCCAGAAAAAAAATAAACAATGACAACATAATTTTTTTTTTTCGCATTTTCAACCGGAAAACGGGTCACATTTTATTTAAATATTATTATTATTATTATTATTATTTAAAACTTCATTTATTCATTCGCTTTTTTTTTGGGCTGCTTAGCAGAAGAAATTTTTTTTTTTTTTCGAAGACTACCACAATAGTTGCAACAACGACAACAACAACAACAACAATCAAAAAAAAATTTTTTTTTTTTAATAGTTTCTTTGTATTTTATAAGTCGGGGAGTCGGTTCGTTATATTCGGCAAATCAAAAAAAATTAAATTTTATTACGAGAGAGAGAGAGAGAGAGACCGTTCAAAAAGTATTTTTCTTTTTTTAATTTATTTTCGAATGCGGTACGCGCGTCGTTTTTATTTTTTATTTTTACCTTCCCGTAAAATCTCTCCCCACCACTCCCCCTTCTCGCGCGTTTAACGGTACGCTCGCGCGTTCGACGTAATACAAAAAAAAAAATGAAAAATGAAAAGTGTTACTTACTTATTGAACGATCCTCGTAATCACCAGTTCTTGGCTTTAATCCTAAAGTACGGGAAGTAAAATTGAGTTTCGTTTAGTCGTACCGGGATTAGCGAGTGAGGAGTCGCGATATACGGCGGCGGCAGCGACGGCGGTGGCGGCGGCGACTAATTTAATAATAATAATAATCTTTTAGTTAAACCTTTAGTTAAAATTAGTTTTTTTTTTTAGTCCGATAAAAGGGATTCACGGTGAGTTTTCCTCTACGAGAAACTAAAAATTTTTTTTTTTCTTCGACGGATTTTCATTTAATTTTTTTTTTTTTTTTGGTAAGCGAAAATTATTTAATATCATTAACTTTTTAATAAATAAATTAGTTAATAACTTTAATAACTATTTAATAATAATAATAATAATGAGAAACAAATCCTTTTGACTCCCACAAACGTTAGGGTTTAGTTATTTCGCGATAATTTCATTTTATTGCATCGCGACAAAAGGGTGTTTTTTATTTCCGCTATAAAATACTTATTAATACATAAATAAATTTATTAAACGAAATGAAATTTTATTAAATTATTATTAATATTATTACGTATAAATAAATAAATAAAAAGAGAGAAATGAAACAATAAAAAAAATATTACCGTGGGTCATGTTGACACGTTTAAACGTCAAAAAAAAAAAACGCGAAGATTTTTTTTTTTTTTTGGCAGATCAAAAATTGTTTTTAACGTTTCGTGTCTTCTGCTTATACTACTACGGACGGAAGCGGAAGTAGACGGTAACGTCAAATTAAACGATTTTAAATAAATAAATAAATAAATTTAGTATAAAGTTGTAATTAACTCATTTGAAATTTAGTTTATTTATTAATTTTAAGAGTGCATTCGAGTAATAATAATAATAATAATAATAATAATGATAATGATGATGATTATGACGATGATGATGATGATGATGATGATTATGTTGATGA